TTTCTTGCCAAGGCGAGGGAAACAAAATACGTCTGATTAAAAATAGTAAAAAAAAAAAAAAAAATAGAGAATGCGAAAAGTGTGACGCAATGTAAATAAACAGAATTAATATGGGTTAATTAAATGGAAATCGGTATTTTATAAACTAAATTTCCACTTTGTTGATATATGTGCTTATGGATGAAATAAAAGTATGTCCTACATTTAGAGAATGAATGTTAGAGAAAATGGGAATCGTGATGATGCCATTTTTCTCTTTAATTGCTTATAAAAGTCATGGGATTCTCAGATTCCCTTATAGATGGAGTAAATGCATCATAAAATAATATAAAGTCGGAATGCCTTAATAATTCATTCCCGAGAAATATCATATATATATATATATATATATATATTATATATATATATATATATATAATATATATATATATCAAAAACTGAATTTAAACCACATTCTCCCCAACTCGTCACTGTTAAACCTCTTTCATTTTCTTTTCTCCGAAGTTATGTGGAATGCCTTTAATGTAAAGTTAGCATCACACACACACACACAAATAAACACACACACACACACACACAAATAAACGCACATACAAACAAACACGCACACAAACGCAAGCACACAGATCGCCATCGCTCTCACAAACCGTACGTACACCCGATGACTTGGCCAACTTCCAGGCAAACTCATGGCAACCGAGAGAGCCCTGGAAGGAGGAATGTCGAACTGACCTACTTTCTTCGGTTTGCTCTTATTTTTCTTCTTTATTTCTTTTTTTTTCTTACCCTTTTGCCTGATTTATGTTTCCTCGTTGCGGTTTCCAAGGGAGGTCGATGGCCTCCCCTTTCTGGCTCCTGGTCTCGGCGTCTCTCGCGCTGGCCTTGTTTCCGTCTCGTTTTTTTGTTGTTTCTTCGTACGTCTCTGTCTCTTTCTTTCTTTCTTTCTCTCTTCCCCCTCTTTCTCTCTATTCTCTTCCCTTTCTTTCTCTCTCTCTCTCTCTTCTCTCTCCCCTCTCTCTTCTCTCTCTCTCTTCCCCCTTCTTTTTCTCTCCCTCCTTCCCCCTCTTTCTCTCTCCCTCTTTCTCTTTCACCCTCTCCCCCCTCTTCCTTTCATACCCTCTCTATCTCTCTCACTCTCTCTCATTCACTCTTTATCACAACTCTTTCTCTCTTCTCTCAATCTCTCGCTCTCTCTCTCTCTCCCCTTTCTCTCTGTGGCTTCCGAGAATCTGGACAAACCTAGCCAAGAATGGATGCTATAAAATGGCTGTTTCTGTTTTCAAATTTGGTAATAATATGAAATATGTAAGTGCGTTGGTAGTTTTTGGATTTCCGGGTGTACATACTCACGCACGCACACGCACACGCACGCACACGCACAACACACACACACACACACACACACACACACACACACACACACACACACACACACACACACACACACACACACACACACACACACACACACACACACACACACACACACACACACACACACACACACACACACACACACACACACACACACAGAGGAAACCAACAAGAAAAATATAAACAAAAACTACGATGGGATGGAATGTTTCTTAGAACTATGAATGCTGAAAAAAAAATATATCCAAATAGAAAAATAGATATATATATATTTTTTTTTACTCAATCGTGATCCAAAATTCAAAGTCAAAGTGAGCGTAAACCAGCGACTGGGAAGTGGTCTCCTCCGCACAGACACAAATCCACCATTGATTTTTACTTAGGGAAAATTGCCGACGTGAAAGCCAGCGGAAGTGAGGAAAACGGATAAAACTGTGATTCTATTTTCTCTCTCGGTGATATAAAAATTCATTGAAAAAATGGGTTGTCTACTCGGAATGAAAATAAAAAATATACAAAAGATGAACAGTACGATTCTACAGAAACACCAGACTAAGAAAATCCATAAGTACTTTAGGTACTTATGAAGATGAATCAATATTCTTTTCTCTCTGGCATCCAACTTCTCCTCGTTACATGCAATCTAGGTCAACACATTTCGACTTAAAATGCAACGATTTGCAAGGCTACTTCACCCCTTCCTACATGTCCGTGCCTTCGCCTAGATAAAGATCTAAAGTGATGCAATTTCATGTTGAAACGATATGTAATTGGGATGAAACGATATGAAAATGATTTGAAAACTATAAATGCAAACAAATAACTTTTAAAAAGCAGGCGATATAACTATCACATTTTAGTTCACACCATCGCAACATATATCATTCTAAAGAAGATATTACATATTTTGTGCCAATTATTTACTCTCGTTTCTTTTACAGAGTTGAAAATATTAACTCAAATAAGAGCACACTAACAGTAGAAACAAAAAAGGATTTACTATTAAATTTTGAACTATTTAATCATTGATGAAAAATTTACTGAAACCATCAAGCCAAAAGTATTATGAAATTATAATGTAGATCTAAATAGGGATAGTGATTGTATGTAAGTAATCATACTGATAACAATTGTCGTGGTTATCGTCACGAAAAACAAGAAAATAAATAGTTCTAGAGTAAGAGATGGTATTAATTATACTAATACTTCTATATATAAGAGTGATGGTAACAATAATAATAAGGGTGATGATAATGGCATTCGTAATGTCAATACAAATAATGATAGCTCTGTTAATGATAATAACCAATAATAGTATCAATAATAATGATAGTGATAGTATCAATAACAACAATCATAATAGCAATGATAATAATAATAATAATAATAATAATAATAATAATAATAATAATAATAATAATAATAATAATAATAATAATAATAATAATAATAATAATAATAACAATGATATAGTAATGATTATAACAGTAATAATAACAACCCGATAATAATAAAAATTATCTGCATTACTATCATTATAATTATCATTATAAACATAACAATAACAAATAACAATGATTAGAGATAACTGCATAAAAAGTGATAAAAAGTACA